AGTACTCGAGAGTTTGTTAATACTGAAGGCAGATCATTAATAAAGAGTGTGAATAGTAGGGGGCCTAGATGGCTGCCTTGTGGAACTCCAGAAGTAACCTTAACAGGTGAAGAGAAGGAGTTTTTGAAGAGGACTCTTTGAGACCTAGAACGAAGGTGGCTAGAAATCAATCTCAAAAGATTAGGCGGAAACCCTAAAAGGTCAAGTTTTTGTGCTAAAAGGGAATGGTTTACAGAGTCGAATGCTTTAGTAAAATCAGTGTAAATGACATCCGTCTGCAAGTTACCTTGAAAGCCTTTAATGATAAAAGAGGTAAACTTTAATAAATTTCTGGTTGTTGATCGTCGCCTTATAAATCCGTGCTGGGACGGAGATATAAGTGATTTGCAGAGATGTTGCAAATGCGGAGCTAAAATTTGTTCAAACATTTTAGGAATAGCGGATAACTTAGATATACCTCTATAATTATTTGCATCAGACTTGCTACCTTTCTTATGGAGCGGAATAATAAAAGATTCCTTCCAGATGGGGGGGAAGCATGAAGAGTTAATGGATAGGGTGAATAGTTTAAGCAAGGGTCCACACAGAGCGTCGGCACAGTACCTAAGTACACAGCCGGGAACTCCGTCGGGACCTGGGGAAAATACCGGCTTAACTAGTCGAAGATCATGAAGCAGTGAGCTTTCATTTAACAAGGGGCTGAAGATGCCATTCGATCTTGGTAAACTGTATGAATACGGCTGACCAGAGTAGCTTTCATGAGAATGTGTTGTTTGGAAAAATTTGGCAAAAAAAACGGCAATTGGTCATTGTTTGCTGATATTGCTGGGTGTGCGGACGTTCTACGCTTACTATTTACGAAGCTATAAAAGTGTTTAGGGTCCTGTGAAAATCGTATCCTGCCTCGAGATAGGTAGTTTTTATAGCATTGAGCGTTAAGAACGGAGAAATTTGACCGAGCTATAACATAGTGAGAAAAAGAAGAGGGAGAACGTACTTCTCGAAATTTTTTCTAAAGTCTTGATTTTAAGTTTTTTAGACTGGATAACTCTTTGGTAAACCAAGAAGGCTTTTCAGATCTAACCGGACAAGAAAGTGGGACACAAGAATCAAAAAATGTGTCAAGTACATTTTAAAAATGTTTGTGCCTTTCATAACGTCAGTGCACAAATACAGAGCGGACCAATCAAAATCGGATCGGGTTAAAAACGCTATGGTCGGATCCGAGACAAAGCACAGATCAAGCAATCGAACCAAGGAATGTTTCACATTGTTGACTTGAGACAGGGATAGGTCTAACAAGCCGTCGATAAAGTAATGTCGTGACATGTGCACAAGTTTATTAGACTCGTTTACCGAAGACCAAACAGTACCTGGCAAATTGAAATCATTTGGTCTTTATCTGATAGCGAGGAAGAAACAGTTTTTAAAGCGGACAGGTGATGCTCATATAGTAGAATATCCGAAGAAAGTGGAACATACGAGCAAGTAATGAAAATGAAAATGCCTGGGATAATCAGTTTTACGCACAGGAATTCCAGGTCCTCTGCAATGAGGACCCACCTACACGTCGAGACAATCGGTCATATCTAAAAATTGTGTACCGACCTGCCAAAATTCGGAACTAAGGAGGTCCGGCTTTAACCAGGTCTCGGTAAACACAATAACGTAAGACGAGAATGCGAGACTCTCCAGGAAAAGGGTGTTGAGCTTACTACGCAAGCCTCTAGCATTCTGGTATGTAACTTAAAGCGAGGAAATTCGTTTTTTGGATGGGTAGAAGTAAATTGGGAATGTGATTCTGGAGATGGAGCATCCACAATTTTGTAGAAATGAAAAACGCAGAGTAATACAAAATACAAGCCGCGACTTTTGCCCTTGCTCACCACGATCACGCTCATTTCCCCTGCGTTTTTTATAAACACGACTTTAACATTGTATCCAAGTCTAAGGCAAGATCTGTACAGAAAGATTAAGGTTAGTTCAAGTGGATTAATCCGTTGTTCGACCAAAGCTGTCCATAAATCCATCTCACCTTATTTTTCTGGAACACTTGATAAGGAATGTCCTCCTATTAATGCAGCTATAAATTGAATCTTAGCACTTTGTTGTTTCCACTTATTGTCTGGCACTCTATATACTTGTACTGTACGGTTAGTGGTAAAATATAAAATGGGGTGCATTTAATAAAAAAAATCGTACCGTTGGCATTCTTTGAACGATTTAATTTATTAGTAGCTTATTTTGTTAAGAATGGAAAATAAAACCATACCACACGAAAGACAATTTAAAAAAACAGCCAAAGTTGAAAAAACATTAAAAAAGGTAGAAAACTTCAACTTCGCTATATCTTCAGGTATATCCACGAATCAAAAGCCCTGTGAAAGGTGGTATCATTTTCTTGTCATAAATTATATATAATCTGGATCAGATCAAAATGAAACGCAGCGTCGTAGATTTCCGAATCTGGTTCAGATTGGATTATTATTACAGCCAGAATGAAGAAATTATTTTCAGTTGCTAACCCCAGCCCCTCCAGCGCTGCAGCCGCTACTAATTCTCTCTCTCGCTCACCTCACACACTCTGTCTTGCCTCGTTCAGTGTGTGACCTCTATCGGAGAACAAGTTAGAACGTCGTGTTGGTGTGAGAAGTGATGTAGAGGATGATGTAGCATCCTCCTGATGTAGCAAAAATATGTTAACTGATAAAATATTTTAAAATTCCACATAAATCACTAGACCACATATCACAATATAGAGACGCGGCCCACAAATTTAGGCAATTAACGTTCCAAACTGTAAAATGTGATTTTCAGACGGTTGCTCAAACAATTTTAACTTAGTCGTTTCTTCATAGATTTGTATTACCGAAAGTTTAAACGACGCCTAGTTAATGGACCTTCTCATAAAATATAGAAAAATAATGATAACATTTTTTTCAACAAAAAAGAAGTTACAAAAAAAAAAAAAACCGTCACAAAATTGATCTATTTTGTATTAAAATGCTTAGTATTTCCCTGACGGCAAGCGTAAACAACAAAATTGGGTCTAATTTATAGCTGCACTTATCAACTATTCTGAATTTCAAAGTTGACTAAAATCAGATATAAGTCACTTAAGTTATATGAAAAAAGAAGCGCTACCTCTGACGAAAAGTATACAAAATAATAGCAAAAAATTCGTTGAAAAAACCATAACTAATTTTTAAAAATGAATTCGCCCAAATCTTTCAGAAAAGGTCGTTTTGGTTTCTTGAGGAAAAAAGTTCGATTTAGTCGAGTAGTATAATTTGAACAAACAGAATATCTATGTTAAAAAATAATTGGACTGGACTTCTACGGTTTTCTAAAAGCACAGGGGAAAGGAGAGATAGAACTGAAAACATATGTTGTTAAAATGTGTCTCTATGGGAAAGAATATGTAAAAGTAATCCAAGACAGTGATTGCATTATAAAGGCAAACAAAGTTGTTAACTTATAGATGCTTCAAGTAAAACAAAACAGCTGTTTTGCTGCAATTAAAGTTTCGGCCTTCCATTGCAGTAGCGTTAGACAGGGGTACTAGTAAGAGTAAGCTTCAACCAAAAGGTATTCGATAGCAGGTAAAGGGTATCGACTGTATGGCTGTCATGCTCAAAGCAATTAGAGTATTTAGAGGCGACAGGTCGACTTTAACGAGCTCCAAACGACAAGAGCTCGTACGCAATCAAGTTTCCCATGAGTGAAGGTACCAGAAAGTTATTCCCAGCAGTATGGTATAACTTTGTAAAAAAAATTTTCCCAGTTTGCAGACTAAAGAGTGTGCGATTTATTCTAGCTCTAGCAGCGGAATTGAAATTATATTTTAACCAAATAGATGGATGCACGGCATACCTCAACAGTTGGCACAATTTGCATAAAAGAGTGTGTACGTTCTGGTAGTGAATGGAAAACCACGATTATAGTTTTTATACCCGTTCTTGAAGAGTTAAAGGGTATATAAGATTTGTGGCAAAAATATATGTGCGTTGTTTGTAGTGAAGAAGACCAGAGAATCTGACGACGGATTGACTGATATTGGCAAGGCGTTACCACTCGGAGTATCGCTTGATTCCACTGTTTGTAGATGGGAAGGAGACGTTGCACTTCATTTGGGTTGTAGGAGGTTGTTGTTTTTCTTATGCGGGATTTTCAGTCTTGAAGATTTGCTTAAGGGTTTGATGCCAAGAAACTGTGATTCTACGGCAAGGAGCTTCGATCCACTGAAAGTAGAGACACCGATAGAATAATTAAAAAAGAATGCATGCGAAGTCCACAGAGCGAGTGCAGCAGACCCACTTATGCTTTCCGGAGGGTATGTATACGATGCAACAGATGATGCGGTGAGCGGTGAGCAGCGAAGAATGATGATCCCTATCGGACTGGCTAAAACCAATAACAATTGCGTGCATAGAGCCAAAGCTTTAGCTGTACACACGTTCGGTTGCGGCCAAGAAATTTGTATAAGGTTAGAATCAATTAATGATTTCAGAAATACTGAATGTTTAAACAAATTGTTTATCAGGTATGTCGCAATTGAAATAGTATAACATAGACACTTGATATAATATTTGACCTACATATACTATATACCGATGCGAGCTGCAAACACGACCGGCTTAAGCAAGAGCCAGAAGGAAGTGTTTTTATTATTCATATTTAATTTGGTCTAAGTCGACCTTTCCATGGAATAATATACATATAATATAATATATAATGTATATGAAATCCCTAACTAAGCAGAATGGAAAAAATTTAAATGCAATAATATTTGCAGCGTATTAGCAAAATCTGTGTAAAAATAAAATAAAAACAAAATTTTATTATTCTTGCAATCGACAAAAACTTAAAATTTTTTCAACGTTTTATGAGTGATTAAATGAAAGAGAAGGAAGGTGAAGGAGAAGGTGAAGAAGGAATAAGGTGAAAAGTATTTTGGTAACAACTTTATACGTTTACCTTTTTTGTTTTTGATTTTTTAGATTCTCCTACGTGCTTGCAGAACCAGAAGAAAATCTATGGAATAGCAAAACACGAAGATGCAAAAATTACTTGTGTGGTCGATGCAAACCCACATGAAGTCGAATTTAGTTGGACATTTAATAATTCAGCGGAAAGTATTGACGTTGCTAAAAATCACATTATTCAATCTGGTAAGTTTTTCATAATCACAGATGCAAGCCGATAAACTATTGGAAATTCTGCGGTTTATTGGCGCGTACTGTACAATGGTATGTGGGACGTAAAAATGTTTCATGGGGAAATAGCAAAGTCGATATAGCCATGTCAAGAACATCTATACTTTATAGTGTCGGAAATCTAAAATACCCCTTAACTCTTGTAACACTGGTATGAAAAACGACAATTGGAAAAGAAAGGCACAGCATATGCTGCTAACGTGCATAATCATATGTATATGTTACCACAATGTTTTCTACAAAGGGCAGTGCAATTAGCGAACAATAGTATACATAGATTAACGTTAGGCTGCACTACTGGCCATGATTTATGGAATTTGTTGGCAAATATTGGGCTGTGAAATCCGCCAGAATGGTTTATAGAAAGCTATGGATAAGGGATATATGTTGGACCAATCTTCCAACCTTTACATACCGAGAGGTACCTCTGCTGCAATGTACAAAGTTCCTACATTCCTCGCAATTCGACAGTTTTTTTAACGGGAGATGGGGAGTTTGATCAAAGAGCGTAAAAGAAAAAGCTTTTTTGATTTTTATACCTGTACTCAAAAAAGAGTTAAGGGGTATATTAGATTTGTGGTAAAAGTGGATGTGTGTAACGCAGAGAAGGAAACGTTTCCGACCCTATAAAGTATATATATTCTTGATCAGCATCAATAGCCGAGTCGATAGAGCCATGTCTGTCTGTCCGTCTGTCCGTCTGTCCGTCTTGTTGAGCGCCTAGATCTCAGAGACTATAAGAGCTAGGGCAACCAAATTTGGTTTCCAGACTCATGTGATATCACACTGCTACAAGTGTATTTCAAAATTTGGCCCCGCCCCCTTCCGCCCCCAAAAATGACGAAAATCTGTGGCAGGCACATTTTTAAAGATACGATAAAACTAAAAACGCAGTATCGTAGAGAATGCCCATATCTACCAGATTGCCGAATCTGAACTAGATCGGATTATAATTATAGCCACAATGAAGAAATTAATTTTCTGTTGGTTCCCTCTCCTTCTCCAGCGCTGCTGACGATACTGATTCTCTTTCTCGCTCGCACACTCTGCCGCGTTCAGTGCGCGAGCAACCCCTAGCGGAGGAGATGTAGAATCTAAATGGTACATGTATAATGTACATGTTAGATGTGGAATATACATTGTAGATGTAGATACCAGATGTAGCAAAAAAATGTAATATGTAAAATTTTTTTTTTTAATTTTTTAATTCTAAAAAATCATAAGCTCAAAAATGTATATACTGACTGAGTACGGGTATAAGTAGAGTCGCGTCCCCAGAAGCGACTCACACGTTCCTTCTCGTTTATTTTGCATTAAGTTTCAGCTAAGTTAGGCAATTTAAATTAAATCTAATATGTTTTGAATTCAGCTAATAGGTTACATCTTTTTAGGCACATCATCCGTTGTAACATATACTCCAATAACTGAACTGGACTATGGTACACTTTTATGTGTTGCAACGAACAAAATCGGAAAGCAGCGAGTACCCTGCGTGTTTCACATTATTGCTGCAGGTAATTTTTTTCTTTAAACAATCATAGACTTACTATAAGGCCATATAAAACATCTATAAAATCTATACATGCTAAATTCCATTAAGGTAGATTTTTGTTAACTAAAAAATTGTATTTTTTGTTCTTTTTTTAGGGGTAGTGCTTTTTCTACATAACTTAAGTTTCTTACATCTGGCCAAAATGAATTCGAACACTTTGTAGTTTTAGCTGACACTAGTCGACACGACATTTCCGCTGTGGACCAACATAACTTTTTCTGATACATTTCGGGATCTAAATTTTTTGAAAGAATTATGGTTTTTTTTATAAATTACTTTTTTTTAAGAATATTTAAAAATCTGGTATTTTTTCCATGTTTTTTTTCAGAGGTAGTGCTTCTATTTTTCAAATAACTAAAGTATCTTATATATGGTTACAGTTCTGAAAAGCTGATAAACGCAGCTATCCCCAGATACTTTGTAGTTTAACGCCTGGAGATTAACTCCCCCGATTAAAGCTAGGAAAAGTCTTGTCATGCATTTTTAGTTTTAGATAGACGCATTAATTGGGCGTCGTTTAAGGTATTGTTCATTAAAATCTATGAAGAGACGGTGGAGCTATAATTTGTTAACCAAACCAAAAAGAAATGAAAAATTGACAATTAATACGTTTTGGAAGGTGTTATTTGGTGTTATGTTGCGACAAGTTTTTAAAAGTATGTGATAAATTTGGGTTTCCACTGCTTGTTACTGTTCATAAAATAATATAAGTTTTGTGGCTGTCTTCCTTTGTCATTCGAATCAGATTCCTTTATGAGAGTCCACACATAGTCGCCCAAAATATTCTCATTCCAAACACCTTGATACCGTCGTTCCATAGATTTTAACTGTTGGTGAAATCTCTCTCCGTGTTCATCACTAACGTCCCCTAGGTTTGTCGGTAAAAGTCTAAGTGGGTGTTCGGAGATTTTTAGGGCCATGTTGGCTCCAATTTTTTCATAATTCTCAATTAGGTCTTGAACGATATTAACGTAATTATCACTTTTGCTGTTACCAAGAAAATTTTTTGTAACCAGTCGGAACGATCTTTTTCATTCGTAGATAAAATATTTTCAAATCCATCGTCTTTTAGTAGTTTTCGAATTTGTTGGCCATCAAATACGCTAAATACATACGTTAAATACTTTAACTTTGCCTGCGACAGACGTGGAAAAACAGTTTTTAGGTAACTCATCGATTCACCTTCCTTATCCAGTGCTCTAACCAAATATTTCATTTGTCCCAGCTTAATGTGTAATGGTAATAAAATAACGTATTCAAACATTACGAGAGCTACATTTTGTATGTTGTAATTTTCCAATGTATTTTCCTCCCGTTTTGGACAGAGTTTTCTTGAGCAATGCTCAGTTCTAGTTCTATTATCCCATAGGCACAGGAAGCGGCAGTATTTAGTGTTACCACCTTGCAATCCCGTTAACATGGCTACGACTTTTAAGTCACACGCGACCTACCACTGGTGTTTTTTATCTATATATAGGTACATAAATTTGTAGAAAAAAATCAGTGTCTAAGCGGCTATCTCCACAACGCGTGCACCAGATTGTATGCTGCTTTTTTAATGATAGCCAGAGAATGTGGCATGGTTTGCACAAACAAATTTATACTTTTCTTTTAATAAGTTCCTCAACAATTAAAAATTAATCAAAAAATCTCACATTTGGTAAAAATATGTGTGTTTGAACGCCTATTTCATTTCCTTTTTCCGCAACGCGTGCACCAAATTGGATGCGGGTTTTTTTAAATGATAGCCAGAGTATGTGGCATTGTTTCTATACAAAAGTTTTTAAAAGTTTCAAAGTTTTATAAATTTAAAAGTTTCTATAAATATGTTCCAAAAAAATGTAAAATTAATAAAAATAAAATCTCAAATTTGGTCTGAAAATGTGTATTTGAACGCCTATTTCTTTTGATTTTGTGTCATTCTGTAGAACAGAACATTTTATAAAATATCTATCATAAAATAGATTTTGTTTTTTTATAACTTTTTGTGTGAAATATTCTTTTCTGAAAAAATTGCAATTTGTGTAAGTATATTTGTTGCTTTTGAAAAAGTGAAAACCAGTGTGGTTTTTAAAGTTAAATGATGTTGTAAGTTGTGCCTTCAAGGAGCCGTGAAAGTAGCCAAGACATTTCACATCGCAATGAAAATAATCGTCTACGAACAGCAAGGTTCCGTTCAAATCATCGGAAATGACATCTTTTGGCGACAAAAATAGCATAAAAGACTACTTCACGCCAACGTTAAAAGTAATAAACTTGTTTTGTTTATTCAAATTGAATATAGTATATTTGAATTTACAACGAAGCATTGATCGCTATGGAAGCCCTTTGCTTGATAATGGAAAGCAAAGCATTAGCTCTATTAGGTATGACAGCACCTAATCGTGAAATACACGACCTTTTCAACAAAGAACTGGAGCGTTCGTAATTCGTTTGTAGAAAACAATGAGCCACAGTTAAATATCAATAAGAAAACGGTTTACAAACAAATATTGCGAGCTATCGAAGAACAACATGGTGGACTATTCTTTTTGGATGCTGCTGGAGGTACCGGAATAATCATTTCGATTATTTTAACTACCATTCGAGCATTGGATTCGTCTGGCATCGCTGCCACATTATTGGATGGTGGTCGCACGGCGCACTCTGCCCTTAAGTTCCCCTTAAACATGCAAGCTGACGATATTCCTATATGCAACAGTTCAAAAATGAAAACAATTTGTGGAGCTCTGTAAAAACATTTAGATTGACTACAAATGTACGTGTTCAATTGCAAAACGATGCTTCAGCAGATTTGTTTTCCAAACAACTGTTAGATGCATGCTTCTCGTTGATAATTCTGGCTTCATACGGCTTACAAATGATTTTTGCACTTTTGTGTCACTGAAGGAAGACTTGATTCAGAGTGTGTTCCATGCGACGAAGACAACATCTCCTCTTTTATGCGTGTTAGTGGCGGTATTTCCTCTAAAGGAGGAGCAGGAAGCGTAAAGCCTTGACCAGCCTTGAATGAACGAAAGAAACGTTCACAGCCATCAATCTCTCGTTTTCTCCACAGTATTGGAGAAAAATTAACTGTCCATACCTAGGACTCCGTAAAACCAAAATTACAGGTCCTTTTTGTTTCCTTCAATAATTTTGGCATTTTGGCAGTTGGACCAGCAACGTATGGTATTTTTCATGTAAAATGAGTTTTGAGTCGTTTTGGTTAAACGGCTGCAACTTGGCCGTTTGTCCTTCGATTCGTTCAAACGATACCTTAAACGACAATTAAAAATCGATCTAAAACCAAAAATGCATGCCAAGAAATATATTTTTTTCGACTTTTTTTGAGTTTTTAAAGTAAAAATTTCGGAAAAAAAAGCTTAAAATATGATCAAATTTGAAAGCTTAATATCTTCCAGTTATTAGAAAAATAGAATCACTATCTCTCAAAAAAAAAACATGAAAAAAATTTCAAATTTCAAAAATTCTTTTAAAAAAGCTAAACCATAAAAATCAAACATAATACTATACAAATTTGTTAATCCCGAAATCTACAAGAAAAAGTAATTTTAGTCCACAGCGGGTAGAAAAAGTTCAACTTTGTCGAGTTATGTTACCGCCTGGTAATAATTCGGCTTTCAAATTCAAAATTGATAATTTTTTTTTAAATAACAACTATAAAACTAAAAATAAGTCAAAAAAATATTATCAGGTATGCTCCTGATTTCACTTTCACAAAAAATGTTTGATTTACTTTTCAAGACGAAAAGTTAGGCACTCTCGCTTTCGTACAACGCAACATGAAAAGTAAACGGCTTTTTGTACAACAAAACGAACCTTAATTGAAAAAAAGAAAAAAATAGATGACTTATTAATGCATTGACATTAATTTGACACTCATCATAGAAGACTAAATTGACGAGTTTGCTGCAGAAAAGGAACATTCCGAGTTCACGAGTAGGGTTGTGCTGGTGAAGAAGAGCGACGGCACACCACGAGTATGTATGTAAGATAATTTTATATTACACTACTCGACAAAATCGAACTTTTTTTTTCCTCAAGGATCCAAACCGACTTTTTCTGATAGATATGGGGATTTAAAATTTTTTAAAGAATTATGGTTTTTTTTCTATGGCAGAACTTTTTTTTGAAGAATTTTTGAAAACTGGTATTTTTTTTTAAGCTTTTTTCAGAGGTAGCGCTTGTTTTTTTCACATAGCTCTAGTATCTTACGTCTGGTTGTAAAGAACTTTGCTATTTTGAAAAGGTAATTAAATCAGCTAGAAGTTAAGCCTAAATACTTTGTGATTTCAGCTTACCGTCTGGGAAATATAAAGCATTGAAATGCAAAAATGATGATTTTTGTGCGGTATTTGTTACGAAATTTTGAATTTAAAAACTCAGGAAAGCTCCAAAGTCTCTTCATAGATTTTAATGAACGATAAACGACGCCAAATTAACGCACCTATACACAAAAAAATAGAGGATACAGGATATCTTTTTTCGACTTTTCCTGAGTTTTTAAAGTCAAAATTTCGTAACAAATACCGCACAAAAATCATCATTTTTGCATTTCAATGCTTTTTATTTCCCAGACGGTAAGCTGAAATCACAAAGTATTTAGGCTTAACTTCTAGCTGATTTAATTACCTTTTCAAAATAGCAAAGTTCTTACACCGACGTAAGATACTAGAGCTATGTGAAAAAAACAAGCGCTACCTCTGAAAAAAGCTTAAAAAAAAAATACCAGTTTTCAAAAATTCTTCAAAAAAAAGTTCTGCCATAGAAAAAAACCATAATTCTTTAAAAAAATTTAAATCCCCATATCTATCAGAAAAAGTCGGTTTGTATCCTTGAGGAAAAAAAAAGCTCGATTTTGTCGAGTAGTGTAATTAGACCCAATAACTTAAAATTTCCAATTCATGTTCCAATAACTCACAGTTCTGGCAATAACTCAATAATTCTGCCAGCAAGATC